GGGGTATGGCAGAGGGAGGGGCTGCGGGACGCAGGGTGGCGCATGACATCACTCTGGTGTCCTGCAGGAAAAGGTTTTTTTTAAACAGAGAAAGATGTGACTTTGGAATGCTCTGGAAATCGTCCCATGGGAGCGAAGAACGAGTGTGAAAGTCTTCACCAAGGCCCAGATGGTCAAGAAATGGGAACCTTGAAGATAACCAGGAAACACCGAGACTGTGCCCAAGGCTGACTTAAATTGGCAGAATTGACAGAACCCGGGAGACAGGGACCCTCAAGAGCGAGACACAAACAAGAGAGAACAACGGGAAACCTGACAAGAGCCATCAAAGGAGAACTGGGAAACCCGGAGATTAACACCCGGTAAGGGTGAAGGTTTGCAGCATCACACTGCAAAACCCATAGACGCCAACAGGAATTTATACGTATCAAGTGGGGGGCTTTTGCCATTAGACCTTAGACTGGGTTTTGTTTGTCCTGCAAGCCAAGCCTCAGAGGAGCCTCAAATCGCGACCAATAAACCCCAACTCCTCGCTCATGCTCAGTCTTGGCCGATAAGATTGACTTGAGCCACGACAAGCAGGTTGCTGGACGTGCGCGCGCTGCTTTTCAGCCTGTATTTTTAACAAACGGGGCGTGTTGCCTGGCCCCGGAAAAAGATCCCGTGTGCTGCTTCTAAGCAGAACGCGCCCCCCTCACCTGGTCTCCAGTTCGTTGTAGTAGACGCCATCGCCCTCGCGGAAGATGAAGAAGTAGTTCTCCTCATAGCCCTTGCTGGCTTTATTCTTCACGTTCCAATTGTACTCCCGGGCAATCTTGTAGTCATATCTGGGGAGAGGGGTCGTCAGCATCCCACAGCCCTGCTGCTCCCCTCCCAGGCAGAACAATACCCCCCCCAACATTCCCCAGTACAGCCCCTCCCCTAGCCCCACCGCTCCCCAGCACAGGATATTCCCCACCCCACCCCATGATCTCCCAACCATCTCTCCTCCCCACTGCCCAGCACAGCCCCTCCCCTAACCCTACCGCTCTCCAGCATAGGACCCTCCCAACTGTCTCCCATGCCCCCCATTCCCCAGTACAGGCCCTGTCCTACTTCCCCTGCACCCCTCCACTTCCCCGGCCCTACCCTCCACCTCTCCCCGCCCCCTCCCACACTGGCCACATACATGTCTTCAGGCGCATAGTCCATCTCCTCCTCCTGGTCCCGCTTCCGTTTCCGCAGCGTTTCTTCCACAGGCAGGAAATAGGCCACAAACTGGTTCCCTTCCTCGTCCATCATTCCCCTGGGTGGAGGGAGGAGGGAAGAGTTAATGAGTGACACACGTGTGCCAGTGAAAGTATCCCCTGCTTCCTCTCCCCCCCCCCTGCAGCACAGCACCCCCTAGTGCCACACTGGGGTTGGCACTGACTCTTGGGCCTCCCTTCCAAACCAGGGCCCGACAACAGGAGTTTTGTGAGGGCTGAGCCCAGAGGGCAGGGGTCGGGGGGGAGCAACCCATCCTCCCAGAATGCTTGGCAATGCAATGCTGTGTCTCCGAACACGCTGGAGCGCTGCTCTCTATGATGGGCGGGGGTTCTGGGGGCACCCGAACCCAGCCCCATGCAGGGACGGCAGACGTCCTGCTCTTGGGGCCACGGGAAGGGCCTTGCCTAGTGGAGGGGGAGGAATTCTGGGAGGGAGGGGCAGTCTAGGAAAGGGAAGAGTGAGCCCGCATGTCCCCCCAAGGCTGGGGGGCTCAGTGTTACACCTGATCATCGCCTGAGACATCATCTCGAGCGCTGCGGCCCCACTGGTGTCCTTGGGAGCCGGGTCTGAGTCGAAGATGACCTGGGCGCAGGGATTGATCCACATCTGGGGGGGAAGGAGTCAGTTGGTGGATGCAGACATCAACCACCCTCTCCCCAAACACCTTCCCACTCCCCTGCTATGGCATTACAATCATGGCCCCTCCATCAGGAAGGATCCCTCCTGTCTGGGCAGCAGCTAAATGGAAGCACAGTGGGGTGACAGGACATGCGCTGCAGGTCGGCCCCAGGGCTGGGATTAGAAGCCAGGTCTCCTGCCTTGTGACCTGGCGTGCTAACCACTAGGCAGTGTTGCCTGCCCAAATGCTCACTGAGCCCAGATGGGGCACTCAGGACCAGTTCAGCCACTCAGGGCTGCAAAGGAGCAGACAGTGTCATGGCGAGACACCTCGGAGGTGCCCGCACAGCACCAGCTGGCTGCCGTGGGCCTCAGAACGCCAATGCCGGCGTCAATCCCAGCCCCACCCAGCTTCTGCCTTACCTTGAAGTCTGGGAACACGGGCATGACCTCCATGGGGGTGACGCGAGGCTTGCTGTAGTGCTGGGCGATCTGGGGAGGGAGGAAGCACAGAGACTGAGAGGCTGGCAGAGGGAAACTGAAACACACATTCTCCCCATGCCCCCTGGGCCTCCCAGCCACTCGACTGGGGGGCTTTCGGTGGGCCCTTCACAGCACAGTGCGTTGTGGGGCTCGGGGAGATATTTAAAGAGGCAACTCACTGATTTCTGGGCATCTTCGAACGTCTTCTCGATGGCAGAGATCTGACTGTCCCGGTCCTTGTAGATCTCCTCCTCGGTGAACTGCTGCTTGACAGACACACCAATCCTGATGGACAGGGGAGACGAGCAGAGTGAGGCCTGCTGGGAAGACACTGCCCCACACTGGATGCAACCTGTCCTGCAATTCTCCCCCCTCAGCCAGGCCCACAAGCGCAAGGCCCATGCTCCCCCTGCTGGATGCAACCAGTCTTGTGCCAGGCTGTGTCTCCCTGGAGAGGGTGGTTGCGCCTTATGGCAGGGGGCACGGCACGTTACAAGAGGAAACCCCCAGGGAGGCAGCTGAGGCACCCTCTTGTGCCCCAGTGTGGTAGCTTCGAACCCTTTTGCAGCTCCTGGGGGAATAGATGTGTTGAAGCAGCAGGGCCCTTGGGGCATGTTCAGCCAGGAGGCCCCCCAATCCTGGCCAGCTCCCCCCTGCCCCGACTCACTTGACCTCTGGCTTCTCGTTGGACACGCCGTAGCGGTTGAATTCGGTGGAGATGTATTCTGTCTTCCTCATCCATGGCACCACTTTGGCATGCTGCTGGGACCTAGGCAGAGGAGAGCAGGAGTGTCATAGCCTTGGAGGGCAGAACTGACTGCCCCCTCTTGATGGAGGGCGTATGGCTGGGGGTGTGTGTCTCTCCTCGGGTATGTCTGAGCAAAGGGAACCGCAGGCTGCAGAGCAGGGCTAGGCGTACTGGTTAGCCTGGGGACTGGAGGGGGTGGGATCTGCAGCCGGGGGGCACCGTATGGTTTGGGAGCAGAGGGAAGAGTTACCTCTTGGAGCTGGTGGGAGCCTGGATCTCCTCCTCCAGCAGTTTCTCATCTGCTGGATCCAGGAGAACTGAAAGAGGCAGAGCAGAATGGGATGGGACCGGTACCTCCCCCCCCAACCCCAATCACATCACCCCCAAAGCTCTGGGCTCGGAAACCATGGAGACCTTTCTGTGAGCAAGATGCTTTGGAGGGGCACTATGAAACCCGATCCCAGGATTCATGGTACAAGAGGGACCCTTGCAATGCACAAGATGCCCTTCCCCAGCATGGACACGCATGAGACTCAGCCCGCTCCACCCCCCGTCAGCCTGAGACACAGGTGGTGCCCTTGGATCTGTCGGTGACGCCTGCACGGGCGCCCTGCCCTGACGCTCACCATTTGGGTCGATGCGATACGTGTCAGGGTTGATGAGGTCGATGGTCACACCCAGGTCAGGCTCAGTGAGGAGGTCGTGCTTGTGCTGTTTCTCCAGAGAGGTGGCTTTGTATTGCACAAACCTGGGGGAGGGACAGGTGAAAGGCCAGCCCAAGAGAACCTGTCCTCCTTCCCCATGGCAGCACTGGCATGGGTCAGCCAGGCAGGCCCCGATCCCAGCCCCACTCAGCGGCTGCCACCCCCTCACCTGTTCTGGTCGAAGGGGTATGTGATAAATTTGGGGTCGAAGGGAATATCTGGGAGACTGTTGCAGTATTTCACTCGACACACCACACCCGACCTGGAAGCACAGGGAGAGACCCACACACACGACTGAATCCCGAACTCCTAGGTACCTGATCTTCTGCCAGCCAGGGTGGTGGAAAGGGTGCAGGCAGGAGGTGCAATGGGCAGAGGGTGGAGGAAGGGGTCCTGTGCCATGGCTGGAGCCCAGCCAGAATCCCCAACGCCCCACATCAGCAGTGCTCTATGATTGTGCCTAGCTGCCATGAACTGAGTTTGCCAGGTCTAGGTATGTAACAGTGAGGTCGATTAACTGATAAGCAAAAGCTTTTCGGTTAACGTTATAGACTACGTGCGTTTCCCCCCACACTACATCTTTTAGCAGGCTGGCTCATACCAGATTCTGGACCTACCCCTGCTGCGGCTCTGCATTTAAAGTGTATTAGGAGCCAGGTGGGCAGGCAGCCCAGCTCAGTTCAGGTACACACCAGGTCTGGGAGCTCAAACCCGCCCCCCCCTTCCGGACAGGGGATAC